GGATAGGGGAGGACTATTGTATTAAGAAAATAAAGCAAATAAAATGTAAAGTCTTTAAAAATTTTTCTCTACTCCACCATCCCTGCAAAATGGATTCACAGTTATCAGGGGCAGATTCGGGTTTTGTGGTGCCTAAGCTATACAACTGGGGAGAGGAAATTTTAAGGAAAAACACTACTAAAGAAAGAGGACAAAAAATACTTTATTTTTTGCAAATTCTGTGAAAACATGTGACCATGTTAAGGGCCAGGGGCCCTCCTAAGGCCTTGGGAAGAAGCCTGCAAAAGTGAGGGTGGAAGGAGGGGAGCAGAAACTTCAGCAGCCTGTGATAGTAGGCACACTCACTCGCCTCTCATTCAGAAGTGGTCATCCTCCTCCTCTTTCCATTCAAGGCCAATCCATCCTGCTAGGCTCCAGATCCTCTGGGAAGTCTGTGATTCACTTTTATTTTTTTCTCTTTATTAGATCATTCACTTTAGGTTATAAATTGGATGATGCTCCTCTTAAGCTTAAAAACAAAATAACCAATCAGTCCCAACCAAGTTAACCCCCAAATACTCTACCTCCAAATTCCTTCCCAGTCAACCAATTGCTCTCTTGCCTTTAACAACAAAATTTTGTAAATACCTCTGTCCTCCCTCCCCATTTCCATCATTTCTCAGTTCACTACATTCTTGTTTTGGCTGTCACACTCTGCTGAAATTGCTTTTGCTAGAGTCACCAATGACTATGTGGTTCACTTGAAGTTTATTAGTGGTTCTTTTTCTAAACCAACCATTTGAATTAAAAAAGTAATAATGTCCCTCAGAGCATCTCAAATAATAAAGGTAGAATTGCCTCCCTCTACCTCTTCTCGGTATACCCCTTTGCGTGTCTACTTTTAATAATTTCATGTTTACCACCAATACTTTTTGTTTTGTCCATCCAAATCCAAAAAAGACCTGTATGCAGTTATTTAGGGTTTCTCTGTTTACCTCTTTTTTCTCTTACTCCCTTCCTTCTGTTCTTCTAAACAAAAATTGCACCATGCTGTAAACACTATTCTGTAACTTGCTCTTTGATTAACAATATATCATGGCTATACTTTCAGATCAATACATATAAATCTGCACAATTCTTTTCAACAGCTGTATAGTATTCCATAATGTGGATATATGATCGTTTATTCAACTCTTCCCTATTGAAGTGCACTGAAGTCCTTTTGATTAGGGTGAATCATATAACACTGCCATATTTGTTGGCTTGTTTTTTTTCTATTACAGGTAGTGTTATAATAAATACCTATGTACCCGTATCTCTATAAACTTCTTTTTCTGTGGATAAATTCCAAGAAGTGAGATTTTAGTTTAAAAGATGTATATATTTTACTCCTATATCTCTTTCCTAAAATGTTGGCATAATGTATGCTCCCATTAATGACCTTTTAGAAAGTTATAAATCACCATAGCTTCTTTTTAGTGCTTCTCTTAGCAGACTTCTCTACCACACATTTATTTGTCATTATTGGCCACATCTTTTCTTGTGTTGGCACTTTCAGCCACTTTTCCACCTGCCTCTTTTTGGTCTCTTTCTCTAGCTTCGCTTCTTCAGTTTCTTTCTAGATACTTGTATATCACATTGTTCTGCTCTGGCTCACTTTTCTAGTCTCTCCTTCGGTAAGTTTATGGTTTCAACTATAATCTCTAGCCCCAGTGTACCAAAGAGGTGGCCCAAAGGTGCCTTCACCTGAATGAAAAAAGGGTTTCCTTTCCTAAAGATGTCTTATTGTCACAATCCAGAAAACTGTGGTAATAACCATTCAATCACTGTTCAATATTCTACAATAAGACCCCTGAACTGTGTGGTGTACAAGCACCGCAATCATCACTGTCAGCTGTGTTTTCTCTTCCTCTCCTGAGTCCACACATCTATATTAAAACCTTCTCCTGGATATCTCCAGCTGGATGTTTTACAGATACCGCTAATATAAAAGATCCATTGTCTAATTTATTATCACCCCCTTTTCAAATACTCCTTATGCATTTCTTTTCTTAGTAAATGAGACTCTCATTCACTTAGGGGCATAACTTAAAAACCTGGATTCATCCTAGGCTACTTCTCTTGATTCACATCTGATATGTTACCAAGTCCTCCAGTTTTGATCTCATATTCTTCAAATCCATTATCTCTTTCCAGTCCTTAGGGCTGCTATCCTGACCATCCCTTTTATAGACTAAAAATAACTTCTTCACTGGTCTTCCTGCTTTTTGCCTTGCCTCCCACACTGCAGCTAGGAAAATTATTTAATAAGCAAATTAAATCTCTATCATGAGGAAAATCTTTCAATGTCCAAATGGTCAACAGGCTACAATCTAAACTTTGTAGTATGACTTAAAAAGCTCTTTATTTTCCAACACTTACTTACTGGTTTTGCCTCATTTCTGGAAATTCTCTAAAAGCACCCTGTGCTTCAGCTATATGGATCTACTTTCAAATCCCCAACATGCCAAGCTCTCTAGTAAGTCAGTGCCTTTGCAGCTGCTGTCCTTCTGCTTGGAATTCCCTATCAGTCTTGCTGGCTGGACAAACTCCTACTTACATTTCAAGCCCCAACTCTAGAGTTATTTACCCTCCTTTAAATTGTTAGGGTGGACTTAAGTGCTTCTGCATTTGAGTTCCTTGCTGATATGGTACACACCCATACTGTAGCGATTTTAACATTTTTATTATTTATTTTATTAATTAGTGTTTCCAAACTAGGTTGTAAGCTTCTTGAGGGTAAGGACTATGAGTAATCTCATCTTTACATCCCCAGCACTCAACACAATGACTGGCATTGAATACTTACTAGACACTTGACTGAATGAGAAAACAAATTAGTTGTTAAGTAGTAAGAATTGTTTCTAGGCTAGGGCTTAAACTTAAGCTATTGATTTTCACTTAAGAACCTTTAAAAATCATTGTAAAAAATACCTAATGGATTAAAAGAAATTTAAGAACAGAAAAGTAAAATAAACCTTGTATTATTTCACCATCCTGATGCCTGTTAGAATAGTTACTCGTTACTTTTGGTCTTTGCCCATATATAATGTGTGTTTATGTTTACATATGTAAATATTAATTTTTATATATATTTTTACATAGCTATAATTAAGATCCACAAGCACTTTCTGTCCTATCTACTTTTGGAAGAAGGTAATTTAAATCAGTGGTGGCTAGACTTTCGCAGGTGAATTTAGGAGAAAGTTATTAGGCTATTTCTGTCCTGTCTACTTCAGATATGCATCGCCTTGGTTCAGCATGCATTTCTTGGAAGAAGCAGAGTGAAGTCAGAAGACCTGGAAGGGGTTCGAGTGCTGCTGTTCACTACTTGAATGGCCCTGGTTAAGTCACTGAATGCCTCAGGTTTTCACTTTCCTCCTCATTTTTGAGTGTCAGAGCTGATCATTTGTCTGCAAGCACTTGGTGAACTTCAGTGTCACTGAGGTACAGTAGTCTTCCCAGGGATAATGGTCTCTGTTTTGGCTGTATCAGTTACCCAAGGTCAACAACAGTCTGCAAGCAGATTATCCTCTTTCTGATATATGGTCAGAAGGTCAGTAGTAGCCTAGAGCTATGTCACTGTGCTTACATCATTCACTTCACTTTATCTCATCATGTAGGCATTTTATCATCCCACATCATCACAAGAAGCGTGAATACCGTACAATAAGATATTTTGAGAGACCACGTTCAATACAACATATTGTTATAATTGTTCTATTTTTATTAATGCTGTTAATCTCTTACTGTGCCTATTTTGTAAATTAAACTTTGTCAAAGGTATGTATGTATAAGAAAAAAACTGTATACATAGGGTTCTTCTGTGCTATTGTGGCTTCAGGCATCTACTTGCGGGGATGTCTTGGATATATTTGTGGTAGATAAGCGGAGTACTACTGTATTAGTAACACTGCGGCAATAGCTTTGCCCCTCTTTGCCCCTTTGCCTCCTGGTGAGGACCTGACAGCCGGGCAGAATTGTTGCCGATGGCTTCACAATGATTCACTCTACGTGAAGTGCCCTCCTAGACCGAAGCTGCGGCGTGACTCCTGGGCCATAACCCCTTAACAGCCAGGGCACCCCAGGGCAGCAGAGGATGGGCAAAAGCAGAGTCTGAGATTCTGGGGAAACCTTTCCTTCTAAAGCTGTGAACTGATCATCAAAATATGCAAACATTCATCGTTAACTGCAACTTGTAAAATCCCCAATACAGTGCCGACCAGTTGTTACTTTGCTCTGTCTTAGGTGCTGACGCATTCATCCTGCAATTTTATCTGCCAGTTTAGAGATCTTTACTCCTTGTCAGATTTAAGTGAGGGGGCAATCTGTAGTTCTGGAAAGCCAGCAGAAAATAAATAATCTCAGTTTTCAGTTGGCGTTTGAACATCCTTCAGCACATCCACGTTTAAAGCTGTTGTAAGCAGCATTAGTTTTTACTATCCTTGAAAAAAAAAAAGGCGCTTAAACCAATTTCCAACCGTGAGGACTGAGCTCATCCCCCCGTGTCGGGATCGGCGTGGCTACCCGAGCATGGGCCTGCAGCTCCGCCGCCCCGGCAGGCCGGCCCCTCGCTGCCCCGGCCAGGTGGCAGCCGGCGAAAGAACGCAGCGCCACCTGGCTCGGCCGGCGACGTCCGCACAAAGAGCGGAGCCGGCGGCCGCCGGGCCGAGCCACAGAAAGTAGTCCCGACCACGCCGGTACCGATGTTGTCCGACGTCGCTTCACGCCCTCCGCAGGGAAAGAATCCCATCGGAATGTGCCGCCGGGCGGTCTTTCCCCGCCAGCTCGCCTCTGTTTTCCTGGCCGACCGCCCGGGGTCTCCAAGCGGAGGTCGTACGCGCGGCCCCTCACTCCCTCTCCTAAGTGCACGGGAGGCGACCCCGAGGGAGGACCCGGTCCGCGCGCAGGGAGACATTCGCGAAGAACCGCGCGGTAGCCGCCGTATCCCTGCGCCGCTGCGTGATAGGAAGGGACTGAATGAGGACCTGCGCGGGGAAGCGGGGCGCCGGGGGAGGAGGCGGCGGGATGGGAGCCGACGCTGGCGTCGCGCGAGCGCCGGGCAGAGCGGCGCGGTAGGGAGGGCGGCGGCGCGCGCGGAGCCTTGACGTGCCCCTTTCTTTCTTCTCTCTCGGGGAAGCTGAAAGCATGAGCGTGCAGACCTGCCGCTGCGGCGGCCTCCCCGGCTCCTCGCCTCCCCCTCCTGTGGCAGCCCCTCGCCGGTGAGAGAGGAGAAGGCGAGAAGGGAAGATGGGGGCCGTCCTGAGGAGCCTCCTGGCCTGCAGTTTCTGCGTGCTCCTGAGAGGTGGGAAGGGGGTGCGGGAAAGTTGGTGGGATTTGGTGGGGAGGTGGCCTTGTTTCGCGTGTGTCGGGGGGGAGGGGAGGGAGTGAGTCGAGGAGAAGGGGTAGAGCAGCGAGGAGCGGCCTGGTCGCGGGGACGGAGAGAGAGAGGGGCCCGGGAGCAGGGGCCGTGCGCTCGCCGGGCCACCGTGCGGACCCCTGCCTAGGTTTCCAGACCTGCTCCGGCCAGATCGGAGCCTCAGTCCGGGCTGCTTGTTTTGGGGAACGCCTGGAGCCGCATTCTGTCGGAATGACCGAGGGTCTGTCTCTGTGCCTGTCTCAGCCTGGAGTCATCAGGGAGAAGGGTCTTTGTATTTTGGTTTTCTAAATGTTTTAGCCCAAGATGCTCTAACCTTGGTTTTCTCCTTCGAAGCCCCCACCTTTTCCATGCCTCTTCGGTGAACTTTTAGAGCCCTCTTGCAATTTTTCCAGGCCTTGTTGCAACTAATAATTGGCTTCAGTTGTGGGTATAAGGATCTTGGGTGAGGACACAGTTGGAAAGTGACTGGAGGTTATAGGTCGAGCGTTTTCAGCCTTGGAAATCTGCTGAGCTTCAGCTCATAATAAAATAGAAACGTTGCCCTTGTAACGCATGGTGTTCAGGACTTGCCCCTATTTTCGGAGCAAGCAAGTGTACAGTTAGCACCGACTAGGAAAGTCATCCTTCCATGGAGAAGCCGACCCTGGGACCCACGTTTTCATTTTCTGCGCTCCCTGGGGGGTTTCTTGGCACCTTGGTAAATAACATAGGCTCGTCTAGATAATTTGCTCCCAGAATCGCGTAAATTCGATGGTCCTGTGGTTTTTTGAATTGGTCTGCAAAGCTGTCACATAAGCTGTGACTTTTATTTTGTGCCAGTTCGCTAAGGTTTTTGACTGGCCCGCAAAATTTCAACAGCTCTTCTCTAACTTGTTTGAGGTGGTGACGAGCCTGATGCTATTGAGCATTTACAGCAGAGGCATTTAAGTACTGATGGGTGCAATGGCTTGTAGCCGTGGTTTTGTTAAAAGTCTCACTTGTGTTCATGGACATTTCTTTTCAAGTGTAGGACCTCTTGAGTGTATGGAGATTTTTAGTTATTTAACAAGCTAAACTTTTTAATTAAGCATCCAAAACTCACTGAAGTTTACAGAACACGATAGTAACTAACGATCTTGCGCTATACCAGATAAGCCATTTCTGTGTGTACATATATATTTTGGATAAGCATGACTGACTTTTTTTTGAGGAATTTTTTTCTTTAGTCTTCTACAAGAATTTTACCTTTGCATGTTGTATTTATTTGTACTTAATAATGATGATCCACCGTAAGCATATTCCAAATGATTTCCACACGTAAACCCCAGAAAGGTGGTGCTCATTTAATTTTCTTGGCAGAGAATTTAATGCAGTGTTTCATGTTCGAGAAGCTTAGTAAGTACATGTTTATTATACTATACACCCTGGTGAAAGGGGATTTTGCTATAGCTGTGAGAAACAGTTGTATTTGACAGAATATGTATATATTTTAAGATAGAAGGTTAATAGGATTAGTAAACATGAAAGTAAACAGATTGATTGAAGTGCTGGGGATATTTAATTCATAACCTGGGATGCTTCTGGTTGCCCAGTTATATTTCTTGGAGGGGAAGGGTGTGATGTAAATGCCATTTGTTTATATTAACTCTAGACTAGAGTTGGGTTTGTTCACTACTGGAGTTTAAAGAAGTTGCATTTGAAGTAATACACTGAAGTCTGATGTTATATAACAAGGACTAAAAGAATTAATAGTTTAAATTGCCTCATTTCCACTAGCAAAGTTTACAGAAGTGGAGCTCTCATTTTAAATGTAGCATAATAATGGTATAAGGTGGTCTTTGAATTTAACAGTACTTAACTGTGAGTACATATTTGAATTAAAACTTTTTTGATAACTGTTTTGTGAGCGGTTTTTATTCCTAATTCAGGTTCTTTTTGTTCCTTGATAATGTCATTTTCTGTTGCAATAGTGGACTCTGGAGAGGAAAATGTGATTTATTTGTTGCAGTAAGATAATTTTTATTCACAGAACTGTTGGAGCTTTAACATCGGGAAGGTGGGATGATGAGAGGATTTGGGAGACCTTTTGTCCTGTAGCCTTGTTTAAGCAATAGCTGAAAGGCAGGGAATGAATGCTGGCATCGTCTGGGCTGCATCTGTGTCCCTATCAGCTGAGGACAAGGTGTAATGGAAAGATTTGGGGGTTTCAACACTAAAATCCTGTGTTTAAAGTCCATAGTTCACTACTTAATAACTATGTTGTCTAGTCAGTCAGTTTCTCTGGGCCTCAGTTTTTTTTACCTGTAAAATGTGGGTAGTAATAACAGTTTAATTTCTGGGCTTATTGGACATATTAAATGAAATAGTGAATATGAAGTGATTTGCAAATGTTATTTTTGTTACAATTTTTGCTTGTGGACATATCCTCAAATACTGAGGATTTGAGATTTAGTTTGTGTAAGATTAACCAATTTTTAAAGGTAAAAGAGATCTTGATCACTGTGGTCTAACTGCTTCATTTGGGAAACTCAGATTGAGAGATTATAACTTGATCCTGCAGCTAAGTAAGGTAGAGCAGGGATTTGTTGTTCATTTTTCTTTTCTTAGCAAATACGTATGGAATACTCACTTTATCAAGCTCTAGTGGTATAGTGTGAGCAAAACAGACGTGGTTCCTGCTGTAATGGACTTCAACATCTAGGTCGCCATTCTTACCGTTCTCTTAGTTCTACCTAGGTACTGATTAGAAAAGTTTTTATTTCTGATTTTCTAGAGGAAATATGTTTACAAGAATATGTTGTGGAAACCATCACGGTGTATGATCTGTAAATACTATGTTTCAGCTTACTTTGAGGAGGCTTTTGTTGTTTTATAAAAATTCTTTGCTCCTTAACCTTTTTTTGTTGTTTTGGTGGGGTGGTGGTAAATACTGTCCAAAAAAGCCACTGTTTCTCATCTTATATTTTTATAGCATGGTCCTTAGAAAAGTTTTCTCTTTAATACCAGGTATAGTGAAGTGTTGGGGAGGTAGAATGAATTTTGGAGTGGGAATCAGAAGAATTAGGTTCTGATTCTAAGTTCACCATTAGCTTAGCTGTGTGACCTTGGACAAGTAACTTAATCTCCTTAAGCCTTAGTATCTTCATTAGGATAATGAATACTTCTGTTGCAGAATCATAAATCATATTAACACACTAAGAGCTCTGAGAGGTCCTGAGGTAGAGAGACCAATTTTAACTTTAAGTCACTATTTCCCAAACTTGACAATGAATTTTTTCATAACCCTTTTAACATTCTGCTGAACCTTTGTTCCAAGTAACAGGCTTGAAGAGAACTAGGTAACTTTTTAAGGGTTAGGTTGATGCATGTGAATTGATACTTGCTGACAGTTTCATATAGTTCAGTTTGATACCTTCATCCTTACTTACTTGGCCTTAGGTTTGCTCATCTGGCTAGGAAATAATTTGACTGGTTGTGAGTGAAATTTTAAGGTTTCAGCTCATTGTTATAATCAGGTTTAACAATGATTTCCCATGGTTCAGTTTTTCAGAGTTTATTTTTTTCCCATTAATTGGAGGTTTTTCCATTTGCTGAACTGAAATACTGTTTCCGTATAAGTGATGCATGCTTTGGCAATCTGAAGGACTGTCTTTTTTGAATATCAAAGAAGATTTTGTAGAGGGGGTATATAAATGGAAAATATTTTGAATAATTTGAATATATTTATATTGGGGAAACAAGTATCAGAGGTTGTGGTTCTATTTAGGCCATGTGTAATTACTCTGAGAAAATCCATTTTCATTATGGAAATTTCATTGCAAATTTTTATTCAGAGAAGATTATAAAGAACGGCACTCTATCAGAAAAGTTATAGGCTTTGTTGACAAACCAGCCAAGTTCAAATACCACTTCATGTAGCCTTGCCTTGGACAAGTTACTTAGCTTTCCTCTCCTCAGATGGAGATAATACCTTGCAAGATTTCTGTGAGAACTGATGGAATAATGTTTGCAAAGGTATAGTTCAGTGCACAGTCAGTCATAGACTTTGACCAAATGATCGCTATTATTAAGATGGTTACATGAAAAGAAATATTAATGTTCAGAAAAGACGAGTAAAACATTTTAGTACTAGGCACTGTTTTAGGCCAATGGTTTTTGAGCTTTTTTGACTCTTCTGCAACTCAAATACTTTTAATTAAAATTCATATCTTTAAATTGGTATTTTTGTTTTCTTCAACTGAAATACTTTGGCTCCATGAAATACTTTTACTTCTGACTTTTCTATTTTGTTTTATATAAACAAGATGGCCACTATCTATTAAATTTATTTTACTTTCATAAGGATCGAAACTTTAGCAATGTTTTAGGTGATGAGTATACATAAACTAGAGGATAAATAGTTCAGTTGATTGTGATACTTATTTAAGAGTTAAGTATGGAAAAAGTATGGAAAAAATAAGTTTACCAAAACATTATCTAATGGAGAAATGTTATTAATTATTTGTTTACAATTAAAATTATTCAGTTGATGGACTTCTCCGTGCAGGATTAAGGATTCTCCCTCAACGCTCTACTGAGTTTCTGCATTGCCTGTTTTGCTCTTTGTATGAGAGTCTTTATGTATCTTCTGTAAGATGAGCCTCCTCTTAATGAATAGAACTCTGCTCCATGTGAGTAACTTTGAAATTCAGTCAAATACATGGACTAGGTAACTTAAGAACGGGATATTAGCCCTTGAATTTCCATTTAGAATATAATTATTCATAAGTACAAGGAAAACAGTGTTGTTTGATTATTAGCAGCGCATGCTTTGGTTTCCCAAGCTGTCTTTGTTATTTGTGGCAGGTCCATCCTCACAGAAGTTTCAGGACATTCAAATGTGAGACAGGAAAATACTAAAATGTGCCTGGGCTCTGTTTGGTGAAAATTACTGGTACTTCAGTGCT